AAAAAAAAACGAGGAGACAGTAAAGGTTTAATCTTTACCGTTAAATCGACACTGGGTGGAGGGTGAAAGAATTTGTGATGTGTAAATTTGGGACTTATCTCCGATGTTGGAAATTTTTGCGAACTTGGTTGGTTTTACAGGTAGAGAGAGGTTGATGATGTATACATGGAATGTGGTTGGTTGCGATTATTGTGTGTTGTAATGAGGTTGGTTGCGATGTAGCGTGAAAGTATGTTGAAATGGACACATATTTTTCATGTATTATTAAGGGCCAACGATGCTACCTACCATACCTTATGGGACCAACTCGCGTTTGGTGACACTAGCTGATAGCTTATTTGCGATTTTCGAGTTTTGGTTTTGTTATGAAGCCAACAGTTGGCTCCATAGTGGAGTCAATCTTCTATAAACAAGTAAATCCACTGTATTCTCTGATTACCTAAATAACATTAATATAATTTTATTAATATGGTAGGTTTACTTGTTGTATATAGAAGGTTGGCTCCACTATGAAGCCAACAATTGGCTTCATAGCAAAACCGTTTCGAGTTTATAGTTTATGATTTGTGACTGAAAAGCTAACTTGTATGATATGTTTGGTAAAATTAGTTGATAAATTAATTGAAATAAAAAAATTCAATTAGCTCATTTGAAAAACTACTTAAAGAAGCTTATGGAATAAGCTCGAGCTTTTTAAAAAAGTTCGTCCTACCAAATAAGACTTATTTGAATACATGAAACTTATAAGCTAACCAAATAAGTTATAAGTTTGACTACCAAACATAGTATTTCATAGTGGAATGGCTCAACAACTCTCTAACTTTAGTTGCATATAGTTATATTATGATTATGAGGACCTAAGGATAGTCTTAACTCATGTCATGTCCTAACAATCTTTAATATTTTTTCAAATCACTATTTTTACCTCTTTTATGTTACTAGTAAACTAGTAAAATCTTGTGCTCATATGCACATATTTAAATAAAATATTATTAGGCATATAAATATATGTTATATTTAAAATGATAAGCTATATAACCGGGATATCACATTCAGTAATTTTAATAATTAGTAAAAATGAAAAATATGATTATAAAATATTTAAATTTCATTTGAATAGTTGTATAAATTTCATAAAGTATAATGCATAATGTAGCTTTACAAGTTTAAAAATAATTAGATGATAAAATATTAAATACTATTATTATAAGGATGTTCATAAGATTTTAAAGGGTTTGATATGCCACTATAACCAATTAGTTATCTAAAAATTGTTTAATGATATAAAAATAAAAAAAGACATTTAAAATAATTTTCATGCTACTTTTAATGTAATGTATAATTAGTAAATAATTACTATTATGTTCGGATTGCACAATACAGTGTCCCCAAATTTCTTCCATCCCCAAATTTCTTCAACCCTAGTCGCCCGATTTCAGCAGTGCCGTCGCCCCCTTAACGGCAGTCCGGAGCCGTCGGTCGACGGCCTCCACCGCCCACTCAAGACGGTCCGGCGCTTGACTCCTTTCGTCGACTCGGTTCCAGATTCGTGAAATTGACATTCTCCTCGTCAATTGAAGGTTTTTGGAGGCGGTCGCGGTGGGTCGAGTCGCTGTGGCCGTGCTTGGTTGTGGCTTGGTCCGTCGAGGTGTCCCGGGCTAAGTTGCTGTCTCCTCGGTCTCTCTCCTCTTCCCGTCATCTGTGTCTTTGTCCTTCTGCACCGGTGAAGCAGCGACGAGGACGGCGAGCTTCCGTCATCTTCGTTCGGCAGCGTTGTACGGTGGTAAGCTTCTCTCTTTTGCTGCTTTGTCTCGGTTT